TCTGGCGTACCACTGTAATTTATCATCTTAAAATAGAGCTCACAGCCCTGAGACAAGGAAGGGGCATCAAAAGGGCAGGAGGAAAACGGCTGTTCTTGTAAACAGTCCCTAAATCAATTGAAGCAGGGCTGCGGGGAAATTCCACCTCGTTAGAAGTCCTTAAGAATCGGTGTCAGACTCACTGCAGGAGGCCAGGAGCGGGAAATTCCCCTTTCCCTGTCACCTCCCGCCCCTGCTACCACCGCAGCTTCATGTGGTTTGTGCAAAGAGAATAGCTAGGATTTCTTTTAGGGTTGCTCTTTTATCTCCGTGTTCCCAGCCGGCCACGCGTGTGTAGACGCACAGGCACCTGTCTCGGAAGGCACCAGCGCGGGCTTGGGCGGAGCCGCTGGAATCCCGAGGCTCCCACGCTCTGGGCGCGCGGCCGCGGGGCGTGGGCCGGGCCTGCTCCCCGCCACGGCCCCTTTAAGAGCCGGCCGCCGAGCCACGTGCCTCCTGACGTCAGAGCAGGAAGTGTTTGAGGAAGTCGTGCTCTGCTGCTCAGTTTAGGATTCCCGTATTTTAATGTCTTCAGGGTGGTGTCAGCGCCCCAGGTTTTGCCGCCCCAGCCCCCATCTCCCCCGCCCCGGGGAGCCTCTCCCTGCCCCGCGTCCCCGCCGACAGGTGAGTCCCACGTGCCGGATGTAGCTCCATGCTGCCCACCTGCCGACCCCGCGTCTTCTTTGCCGCAGTCGAACTTTCTACCTCTTCCTGTGAGGTTCCTGTAGAAAGTTCTGTCTAGTATAAATGTCGGGGATTTCCAGGCATGAAACTGCGTCCCTTGTCGGTGTTTGGAGTTGGGAGGCCAAGTGGAACAGCTCTGATCAGTATTTCCAGGTGGCTGCTTAGAGGTGATGGTGGTGGGAGAGACCCTGGATTCTTTCAAACTTGAAAGAATCACGTAACTTATGGGGCGCCCAGAAATACACTCTCCTCGTTAGGTTTGGAGCAGATTCAAGCAGGTTAATATGCCTGTTTTTGAGGTCCAGGCTGGGTATCATGCTTTGGAGGTCACCGGGTGAGGGCATCACCTCTCTTGAAGTGATTTTCCTCTCAACCTTCTTCCAAAAGACCTGGCGAGTGAGAAAGACTCAAAGTCTACCTAAAACGTAAAACAAAACACCTTTATTTACAAAGTAAAAACCACTTTAGCTTTTCCTTCTCCATAAAAAGCTTATATCTCACCTTCTCCATCTCTTGAGCAGAAACCTATCCTGTTTTTTTCCTTTAACCTTCACTGTTTGTCCCCCACACAGAGTTAGCCTAACATCAGTATGAGCTGGTCACCTTCCCTGCCAACTCAGACATGTGGGGCCTGGGAAATGAAGGAACGGCTTGGGACAGGGGGATTTGGAAACGTCATCCGGTGGCACAATCAGGTAGGGGCTGGGCACAGCCTGGAAGAGGCAGGGGGAGGGCAGAGGGTGGGCCGAGGAGTTGGGGACAGATTCTTCTTTTACTTCCTTAAGGCAGCTGCAGATTTCTCTAGTATCTCCAAGTTGACATTAGGATAATATTGGCAATATTATTGGCAGTCACAACAAATAGTAAATAGATATGTAATAAGCATTCTTGTGATGGGAAAGTCTGCTGTCAGAGACCTCTCCAAAGTACTAAATAAAGAACAACGATATCACTCTGGGGACTAAGGTGCACCTGATACAGGCCATGGTCTGTGCAGTCACATGCTATGCATCGGAAATCTGGACAATGACTAGGGATGACAGGAGAATTGGTGCCTTTGAGCTATGGTGCTGGAGAAGAGTATTGAATATACCACGTACTGCTAAGACATCAAACAGGTTTGTCCTAGAGAGAGTTAAACCAGGCTGCTGCTTGGATGCAAGGATTCTGAAGCTCCTTCTGACATACTTTGGACATGTTGCAAAGAGGGACCAGTGCTTGGGGAGGGACATCATGCTTGGGAAGGTGGAGGGTCAGTGCAGGAGAGGAAGACCCTCAATGAGTTGGATTGATGCAGTGACTTGGTAATGGTGGTAAGTGTGTCGGAGACAGTGTGATTGGTACAGGATAGAGCAGGGTTTATGGTAGTTGTACATAGGGTCGCTGTGAGTCACAGGTGACTCAACGGCACATAACAACAACAACAATAATAAGTATTCAGCCTCCATCTATAAACAACATCATGACAGAGAAAATACTGATGTTACCAAGAATTCCATTTTATTTGAGGCCATGATTAATGCCCTTGGAAGCAGCAGTCAAGGAATCAAAAGGGAGGCAGTCCAAGATGTAGTCATAGTCATACATGTGATAATGTCCTTCTCCCATCAAAGACCTGTGGAGACAAATAAATCAAGAGATGTGAGCATCAAAAAGGCAAGGCAGGAGAAACTATTTTAAAACTGAACGCAAAGAATTTCAGATTGCTGGTACCTGCTAGCAGAACCTGTGTAAAGACCAATATCCTCGTTTATACAAATGGAAGCAGCTCTGCATCTCTGGTCCTGAGCCAGGCACGTGTGCTCCCAGCTCTGTGGAAGTTAAGTGCACTCACAACACCTAGTGTCCTTCCACTGGCCCCTTCCTTGTCTGCAGACCTTGGACTGTGTCCCACCCCCCCTCCTGTTCTCTACTTAAGTGGCAATACCACCAGCCTGAGCCAGGGGTTGATGGACTGGCAATGCCTGCTCCTTTGTTTAGCCTCCCACACTGAGGAGGTGCGGGCCTCTCTGCCTGGCCACTGGTGTGCTGTCTGGATCCTGAAGAACAGCAAGCTTCCTGCTTCTGTGCCTTAGCGTCTTGCCCTTGGGGTCCACAGATCTGGGGGCAACATCTACTGTTCTGCCCAGCAACCAGCACCAAGACCCTGCAAGCTGAAGGCACTTAGTCCAATTCTGAGCCACCCCAGAGGGAGAGATACAGATCAATGGCACTTCTGCTCCCTCCAGCCACCTATGTTGGGGACCAGAGGACAAGTGACACAACCTCTCACACATCTCTCTCTCTAGCAAACTGGGCCTTCCCTCCTATCTTGTACCCATAGACTGGCAGCATCCCCTCACTTAATTTCTTACACCACACCCTTGCCCAGCAACCCTAGACACATGCCTACTTTGTCCACCTTTGGGTATCATCCTTGAGTTTCCAGCAACCAGTGAGAATGCTTTCTGCAGTCACACACGTGACCAGCCAGATTACCTGATAAAGTATACAAAGGACTGATAAATAATGTGATTGTGTACCGTTGACTCAGAACTGACTCACAGCTAACCCTCTAGAGGGTTTTCAAAGGCAGTAAATTGCAAGGGAAGAGAGTGCCTGGCTGGTGGACTCACTGGAACCATGCTCCTTTAGGTTGGTAGCACAAAGGTCAAGAAAGGCATAAGGAATACAAAGACAATTAGAAGAATTCAAGAAAAGAATAGAAGAACAAAATGACAGAATAACAGTAATAGACTATTCGAAACTATACAGAAACATCACCAAGAAACCCAAAATGTTAAGGGTACCATTTGAGAAATAGAAAGCCATAAGAAGAGATACAAATCAGTAGAGACCAGAATCTGTCAATAGGGAAGAAATTCCTTAATGCTAATTCATTTGAGGGGGAAAGAAATGAAGAAAACTTAGAAATTCTGTGGGACACTCTTGAGAGGAAAAATTTATGTGTGGTCAGAATTCCAGAACCACCATTGCCATCAAGTCACTTCTGACTCAGTGAACCTAATAGAACCGCCCCAAAGGGTTTCAAAGTTTGTGAATCTTTATAGATGCATACTGCCACATCTTTCTCCCACAAAGTAGCTTGTGGGTTTGAACTGTCAACCTTTGGCTATTAGTAGCTAAGCACTTTAACTACTGTGCCACTTGGGTTCTAATTCCAGAACTAGGGGAGACATAGGGAAGAAAGAAAACTATAAACTAGCCATACAGATAATTGTCAAAGATTTGCTGGCAAAGAGCTTCCCTAATATCTTGAAAGATATTGTATCCAAGAAGCTTAGTGAGTCCCTTACAGAAGGCATATCATAATCAAACTTACCAAAAACAAAGATAGAAAAATCCCAAGAGCACCTTGGAGAAAACTAAAAGTCACCTTCAGAGAGGAAACAGTAAGACTGACTTGTGATTACTCAACAGAAATCTTGCAGTCAATCTTGTTATGATTTCCCTTTTTTGTGCCTTCTAAATAAAATGGCCATGACCCAGTGGACTCCTTTGACATCATGCTGATGGTTTTTCCTCACCTGGGAGTGCTTTGTCTTTTTTTTTTTTCACCTTTGCCCTGTTTAAAGCTTAATAAAATATTTTCTTTGGGTGATGAAGGGATGGAGAGAGAGTAGGAAACCGTGCAAAAAAAAAGCAAACGGGATGACATATATGTTGTTGTTGTTTTGTACCTTCAAGTTGGAACAACCCATAGCTGACTCTCTGGCAGGTTTTCAGAGTAATTTAATCACATGGGAGATTGCCCATTCTTCTGCAGAGTAGCAGGTGGCCTTGAACTGTGCACCTTTGGAATTGCAACACAGCTTCTTGCTACTAAACCACCAGAGATATAAAACATTAAGAGGGGAAAAAAATACCAAACAAGAATAACACACCCATCAAAATTGTATCTCAGGTATGCTGATGTAATTAAGATGTTTCTAGATAAACATAAAATAACAAATTAGGGATTGTGTAAAACAGCCTTTAAAGAAATATGTAAGGGAATCCTTCAGAGAACCCACATTAAGTGGCTTGAGATTAAGACCCAGGACATCAGACAGATAACAACCCAGATAAAAAATTTAAAAAAATAAATAATAGAGCTAAAAGTCTGAAAACAGCAACCTAGAGATACCAGTCTATAAAGGAAAACAATATAAGAAGGAGTAAATGTTGTAGAACTTTCATATGATGTTAAAGTCAAGACAATATTGAGAAATAAAAGATTGCTTTAATTTAGGAAGATAATAGTAAATTTCAAGGTAACCACAAAGGAAGTTAGCAGACCTACTCATTAAAAGAAAAAAAAGAAAAACAAACTCAGTAAACACAAAATAAACAACATTGAAAGAAATGAAAAGAAAAACAAACAAAAAGAACTCAGCACAGAAAATTAAGGAGAACAGAGAAACAATAAACACTCCAAAAAAAGAAGTACAACATAGTGATAACAGTACGCTCATACCTATTGATAATTGCACCCAATATAAAAATAGCTTAAGTACACCAGATGAGACAGAGAATGTAGAATGGATTAAAAACAGACGAAAAAACCAGGACCCATCAATATGCTGTTTTAGATGTTTTTGTTGTTATGTGACGTGGAATCGCTTGCAACCCATAGTGATCCTATGTACAACAGCTCTGTAAACCCTGCTCCCTCCTGTACCAAACTTGTCTCCAACACATCTACCCCCATTCCCCCAGTCACTGAATCAATCCACCTCATAGAGGGTCTTCCCCTCCTGTGCTGTCCCTCCACCCTCCCAAGCATGATGTCCCTCTCCAAGGACCGGTCCCTCCTTAAAACATGTCCAAAATATACATATAAATAAATCTCAAAGGATGGAAAAATATATTAAGCAAATAATAACTATAAAAAGAACAAAAGCATAAATATTAATCTCTGATAAAATTAACGTTAAGACAAAAATCCAGCAAAAGAGACAAGGAAGAACAATATATAATGATTAAAAGGTCAGTATACTCAGGAGTCCAGAATGAAGGTAGCATAGTGGAGTGGACCTGAGGGGAGGGTTTGAATAACAATGAAAGAATTTTTTTCTTTTACTTTTCAAAGAGAAATGCTAATTGGGGGTGGAGGTGGGGTGACAGGGAGAAAAGTGCAACAGTGAATGAATGGAAATCCATAAGTCTCTGTAAACTTTCATTAAAGTCAATTAAAAAAAACTTTAAAAAGGTCAATATACTGAGAGGATATAACCATAATAAATGTCTATATACTCCAAAATACAGGAAACAAACTCAGACATCATTAAAAAGAACAATGGACAATGTCACAATACATCAGCAAAGAGAACTTGAAAAAAAAGGCCAGGTAATAGTACCATTTATGATAGCCCCCTGCAAGTTGATATGGAATGAGGCCCTAGATAAGGAAAATATTATTGAAGAGGAATTAAGTAGGAGGCATTGTATTCCCCTCTCTCAGAACCTAAAGTATAATAGTCACGTTAGTCAAAACATCCTGGTACAACACCACAGTCATAGACCAGTGGAACAGAATTGAGAATTTACATGTAAATGCATCCACCAGTGGACAGCTGATCTTCAACAAAGAACATAAGCCCATTAAATGAGGAAGATCGAGTCTTTTTAATAATGAAGTATCAAAACTGGGTATCTATCAGTGGTAAAATGTAACAGGACCCATATCTCACATGATACAAAAAACTAACTCAGG